ATTACCTGTATATATTGTAGAGCTTTCTACGCTGCATCTTGTGGTATATTTTTTTTTTTTACGAAAACATATTAGGAGATAAAATGATGAAATAAGAAAAAAAGAAATGTCTTGTCATGTTATCTTTTCGTAGCGTCGAAAATTGATCGCATAGAATTTTGGTTTCTTTTGTATACAAAAAGTAGACAATTAAAATAAGCTTTCCTTCGTGGATTGTAGAGCATTTTACGCTGCATCTTTTGGTATATTTTGTTTTTTTTTTAAATAAAAGATTTCAGGTGATACAGAGGAAAAAAAAGCATTGATTGTGTATTGAACAAAGACTTTTTCGCAGCATCGAAATCTGGTGGCTCAGAATTTTTGTCGATCTTGAAAACGAAAAGTACAGCTGTAAAAAAGTGGTCCTATGTAAATTATAGAGCTTTTCACGCTGCATCTTCTAGTATATTATATGAAAAAAAAGTTCTTAGAAATTTTTCTATTAATATCGATAAGAAAATGTCGCGAACTTTTTTCCCATACCTTATTTTGTCTTTGTATTTAAATAGTTCGTATGCTCAAGAACAACAACATGATGTAAGTTGGTTATAAAAATACGCCTTACTGATAATTATTTTTGTTTTTGTTTTGTATTATAAGAAACATAAAAATTTATGGCAAGATTTACAAATTGATTTTCGTCTTGAAGCTTTAAAATTTCCAGATAATAAAATTTATGGAACTATTAATATTATACCAGAATCATCTCGTAAACTTATTAAAAAATTTGTTGTAAGTAAATTTAAAGTATTGTATTATTTATTTGGGTATTTTTATGATAGTTAGTCATTAATGAATCAAAGCGAATTGAATTTGATCGTCATTATGAAACTTTGGCAGTATCAGGTTTCAATACAAATAGAAAAAACTCTTCGGTTTATATTCAAGTTATACCGAATAATGAAAAATGGGCAAGAGAAGATAAAATATCAAAAGTTTGTGTATGTTTTATTTGAGAGAAATAAAAGAAAATAATTTTAATAAAAAAGTTGTTCTTGTTTTTTTTTTATAGCATTTTTATTTTACTGGTGAAGTTTTTGCATTAAGTCCAACAATAAGTTTTAAATGGTCAGATGATAAAAAAAATCCTAAACCAAATCTTATTATTCAATGGTATCATATTGGAGATAAAAATGCTCAACAATATATTCTTTATTTAGATGATGTAGAAATTCAATATGTATGTTTATTTATTAGAAACAAAATAGAAAAAAAAAATAATTTCTCAAGATTTATTTAGATACGTCAAAAACAAATCGCAGATTCATTTTTTGTTAGTATTTGTGGTTTTGAATGTGGAAATAAACATACTTTTCAATTAGCAGCAACACTTAATAGTATGTTGATATATTCTCTTCTATAATTACAATTTTTTATATTTCAAATTTTTTAAAGATGGTAAAGAAACATATCGATCAGATATTATAGAATTTACTGTACCTGATAAAGAATTCATAGACAATGATAGTGATGAATTTATTACTATATCAAATGAACCACCTCCACCCGACTTACCAGGTACTAATTAAATTCTTTTGTTTTGTTTTCATAGTTAGTTATAAGATGAACATAAAGCAAAATTGAAGTGGATTTTATTTACGGTTTGTTACGAATACATGTTTTTTTATTCCAATTAGTTTAACACTTCGTCAGAAAAAGTTCCAAATACTGATAAGACTATTAACATAAGTAAAAATCATTTTTTTCTCATAACAAGTCTCTTAAGTCTGTATAATCTTTTTGTTTCTAAACTCTCGGGAAATAGATATTTTTATTTTAATTCAGCATAAAAGACTGAGTAGAAAAATATTATTGTCTTATATTTAAAGTAAATAGCGTAAAAAAACCCGCTGAATGTATTTATAGACACATTAATAAACGCCTTTATTTTTTTTTGTGACGTTGAAGATAAAATGTCTTATCTTATTTCAATCAGTAGATTTCGAACTAGAAAAGTACTCGTATTGTATTTTTTTTTATCGGTAGAAAAACAAAATAAACAACATACAGGCAAAATTTCAGAAATACAGAGGAGATTACGAGTGCATTATCTATATAAAAGTGATTTTGTTAAAATGTATTTGGTCCGCTGTAGATTTTCATGGTAAGTCTGATTATCCTGTTTATTAATTTTTTTCAGTAATTTTTAATAATAGAAACTGCAATACACACAATCATTATACTATTAAAAGGAAGAAATGCTCGATTTTCTTTCTCAACAATGAAACAAAAAAATAAATACATGCTGCAATTTTTTAAGCTATTTACTTTAAATATAAGAAAATAATATTTTTCTACTGAATTTTTTATGTTGAATTAGAATAAGAATACCGATTTTCAAATACTTTAGAAGAAAGATTATATCAAGTAAAGTGAAATGATTGCAAAGTTGGATGTTTTACAAATATCTCACTGCCCAGATCGACCATAGCAAACAACGTCTTGTCCAGCCTGAAACAAATATATAAAATGACTTGATTCGTGACGCAATCCGTTATATCAGATTACGGAATGTGTCTCGCGGGTGCCATTTCCGTCTAATAGTGACGTGTCGTATACGACTCATTTTTGTTACTCGAATTTCATCTGACGTTACATCCTTCTTAAACTTTCATTTATTATATGCGAACTATTTCATTACATTTTCCACTAGATTTTTAGAAGACAAATGAATGGATTCTATTATCTATAGAACTTATCTATTAAAAAAATAATCAACGAAGAATATGCAAAGATGTATACATTATATCGTTGCATAGATCTCAATAAGATCTATCCATCAGTACTTAAACTAGCTCAAAAAAGTTAATCAAGGTCGTATATTAACAAAAAACAAACATCATGTAAGAAATAAAAAGAGTAAAGAGCATTTCAATCTCAGTGAAATAGTTCCATGAAACATTAGAAATCGGTCTAACTAGAAATGATAGATAAGATCATTAAGGTTTATCTAATAATCATCATTAGAAAATATCTTATGTTGTTTATGCAATCCTTTTTTCATTGTTCTATCCGTCCTGGAGTAAAGACAAGTCATAAAAGCTTAAGTTTAATAGTTAAAGTAGAAAACTCTCTCATGTTTGTTTCTAGACGCAAACAATAATTGAATTTGACACACGTTTAATTCTTTATGAATATTTTCAAACACTAAAAGAGCCACATTGTCCTTATTATGCTATTAATGAATAAGTTTTTCTACAATGAACTTGATTTAGATCGTAAACTTGTCTTTTGGTATGTATTGAAAATGTCGAAAGAAAAAATGTCGAAGGAAGAAACGTCGAAAAAAATATCTCAAAAAACAAATGTCGAAGGAAAAAATATCGAAAGAAAAAAAAATCGAATGAAAAAAATGTCGAATCAATGAAAATGTTGTTAGATGAAAAATATAAAATATTTCTTTTATTTCATTCAAAAAAAAGAACAATACGTTCATTGATAACGTCAAATAC